AGGATGCGGAGACATACACGGCTCCATCCTCACCATCCTCATGCTCTAATGCAGGAGTCAGGTACTACACCTTGAAATACCGTTGTGGATTGGTTCAGGGCTGGGTGCAAAATGTCAGTAACAGTGCGACCACGCCTGGTTACTTCTATGAATGATTCTACACACATACAGTCAACCATACTTGGCTCTTCTGAGTGACTGTTTTTCTTATTTCTTTTCTCTCTAACAGGCGATTGGTTACCAAAGCTAGGAGAATCTACCTTTGTAGTATCTCTTGTATGTGGCACCTCCTGTCCACTTGTTCGGCCACCAGTCTAGATGGAGCCCTCCTTGAAGATCACCTGTAGTGTTGCAGAAGCTCCTAAACATCCTTGTTCCCTCCCTTTAGCCCTCTAATCCTACTTTTTTATTAGCTCTCCTGAGCAAAAGTCTCACCCCCTCTAGGATGCAGCCCAGGTGCCTAAGCCCATTACTGAAGGTGCTTTACAAACTGGTACCATCCTGCCCACCCAGCAGTGTCTTCACTCTTCCCAGGGTTGTTTTCTGGACACTCCACATTTATGCTTGGTATCACACTGCAGCCTACAATGCAGTATCCCACCTGGAATGCCTGTCTCTATTCCAAAGTGTTCACATCCCCTTCCCTTCACAAAGCTTTCCCCTTGTAGTAGCCTGCACGGTTATCCATGTCTCTGAGTTGCTGTATCACTTGGAGTCTCTGACACTCATTTTTGTATGTAGGTATATGATGGCATGGGAAGTCACTAAAATACATTCATATTCACTGATTCATTCAGTTTCATTTAAGTGTGGCTTGCCTCCTCCTCCTAAGGACAAGCAACTTCTATTGCAAGGCATGGTACTATTCTAATAATGGAGTCTAAGTGAATAGTAGATGTTAGAGTTTTTTTTAAAGGTGAGTGAATAAAGTATAAAACTGTGATGAAATACTTCGTTGTATATAAGTTCTGCCACGCTCCAGGAATATAGTTGTGAAAATAATTCAAATAAAATATTTAGTCTTTCAATAAATATTGAGTTTTATGTGCCAGCAATGTGCAAGACACTAATGATTCAAAAATAAGTCATACTTTAAGCCTCAAGAAATCTGTAATCTAATGGGGAAGACACATAAACCATTTTAATATAATCTGACACCTCTAGCTGTAGATATATCTATGGAAGAGGAGGCGAAACGTGGTAACTCTCAGAGCATGAGTAGTTAGATACAGTGGAACTTGAGATGGAGGAAGAACAGCGTAGGCAGAGGGCACAGCGGTGAGGTGAAAAACAGCACGGTGTTTGGGGATGGGGAAGCCAGATGATGGAGAGCCATGTATGTCCTATTGAGGAACTTGAATTTTACCCTGTGGGTGTTGCCAACAATGTCCATATAGAAAAGCCTTGGGAGGATTTTATGTATAGAAAGAGCAGATCAGGTTTGCATGTTTGAACACTTGGGCAGCCTAAAAGTTGGATTTGAGAGGGACCAGAGTTGAATGCAGAGAGACAAGCTATGTGCCCTTACAGAAACCAGTTAAGAGATGCTGAGGGCTTGGATTAAGTGAAGGCAGTAAAGTTGAATGGGGAAAAGTTTTTTGGTTTTTTTTTTTTTGAGATGGAGTCTCACTCTGTCACCCAAGCTCGAGTGCAGTGGCGCAATCCCGGCTCACTGTAACCTCCATTTCCCAGGATCAAGTGATGCTCCTGCCTCAGACTTCTGAGTAGCTGGGACTACAGGCATGTGACATCACACCAAGCTAATTTATTTTGTATTTTTAGCAGAGATGGGGTCTAACCATGTTAGGATGGTCTCGATCTCCTGACCTCATGATCCCAAAGTGCTGGGATTACAGGCATGAGCCACCGCCCCCAGCCGAAAGGAGATAAATTTAAGCATCACTTACGGGGAAAAATTCAGAGGATGCAGTGATACAGTCACTATGGCAGAGGGTGTGGGAAGAGGCAAAGATGGCCCTTGCTTCTGACCTGGAGGATTTGGTGAGCAGTGGGCAGCACTTCCCCTGCAGCAGAGACAGGGGAAGAGGGCTTGGTTTATGTTGGAAGTGATGAGTTCAGTCTGAGCCATATGGAGTTTGAAATGCCTCCAGCATTCCATTCAAAGTAGTCCCCTTAAATGGTCATTGAGTGACTCAAATACTGCTCCTGTTCTTGGAACTTTTCAGAGACTTCTCAAAAACCCATTACCAAAGACATTTTATCAGCTACATAAACCAGTCATGCATTTTATAGACATAACTCTCTTTGGGAAAAACAAAAAAGAGAAAGGAAGGGAGGGGGAGAGGGAAGAAGGGAAGGACACTGCCTTGGGGTGTATATTAGTATCTTTTTCTTAAGGGGAAATTTTGATATTTTTCAAGTAGAAAGCAACTCCCTATTCACTAGACTTAAATCATCATGAATTTTGGCTGTTTTCAAAATCAAATCATCTTAATGATATAATCCTAGTTCCCTAGGGCTAAGGAAGAAAGCATGCCTCTGACCTGAGGAATTCCCAAAACTACAGTTGCAGAAGTAACAGCAGTGTAGATGGAGCTAAAGTGTAACCTCCAGGGTCACTATTCCCGATGACTGCATGTGGCCAGATTTGTTTGTTCTGATGTGATGATTAAGAAGCCTATTGTACTTCTGTTCTAGAAACACCTCCAAGAAAAGGACTTTTCCTTCTCTCCTAAGATAGCCACAAGAGTATGCCTTCATTGTATTATCTCTGTTTAAAACAAAAAAAAACACCTGGGACCAAACTAAGATTTATGATTTGTCTTACAAGGTTGACTTGCAGACCCTTGCCCCAAGTCTCTGCTCATACAGCTCTGGGCAGGAAGATGTGAGGCACAAATATGGGAACTATAAAGACACTATAGACAAAGTCACTGAACCCACCAGCAAGATAGCCACCCCTGAAAAGGACAGTGTTGTAACAGAATAGAAAGTACATCCACTCAAAAGCAAATTTCCCAGGCAATACGCCACAGTAAGCCCAGTGTATAGGGTGGGAGAGCACAATCTGCCACTGCTGGGAATACCCGCACTCCAATCCTAAAGAAGGACTCAAAGGCCAGTAGGGACTGGTCACAACCGAAATGAAAAACAAGATTTAGGCAGCACAGAAAATAGATGTGACTGAAGAATTGTCTTAGCCCTTTGCATGGGGGCATGAAACCGACTCCAGTATGGTTATTTCACGAACCCAATAAGCAGATTGGGTCTCTGCCCAGCCTCTGACCTACTCAAACAACATGTACTCCCTTTTGTACAGTAAGAAATGGCATAGAATTACCTGGGAGCTACTGCCCCCAGCTGCAAAAGCATATGCAAAATGAGCTCTGACTTTCTGCATCAGGTCAATTCCTTACTTAGTGTCTGCCAACCGTGGTACACTGCATTTATTCCCAGCAGTTACTAAGGGCGTGACAAGAGAAATGGCTCTTGCAGCTGTGGGCTCACTTCCTCCCCAGGCAGCCAAGCCCTCCCTTCACTTCAGGCTGGGGCTGACTGGCATAGGAGGTACTGTAGGGGGCCAGTTGGAGGCAGTGGTTAATGTCTCCATATCCACAAGTGACAGTAAGGGATGTGGAGATGTTAATCAGCACCAGCTTGACAATGTAACTCCCTTTTTGACCACTTGTATAAAACCCTGCAGGATCTTCTGTCACTTCATAGGAGGAAGAACTTTATATCAAACAAGACCACTATCTTTTAGCTGATGAACGAAGCAGTCTCATTTCTAATTATTAAATTCTAGTCCATTATTACCAAGTACCATCCCTGGTCCCCGCAGTGAAAAAATGGAGAATGCATAGCCAGACTCTGCTGACTAGACTTGTGCCTTTACTGGGGTCCAGTCCAGTTCTCCATGACTGGTCCTGGAGCTGCTAAGTCATTAGACAGTCTGAGTCCTCTCCACTGTGGCTTCCTCCAGCACCGTGTAAGGGTACTTTGGGGGGCAGTATGATATAGTGGTCAAAACCATGGACTTTGAAGTCAGACAACTCCCAGCTTCACCTCTTGCATTCTGTAGGACCTTTGTCATTTACCTTAAGCCTCCATCCCCTCATGTGTAAAATGGAAATAAAAATTTATCTTGAGGAGTATTTTGAATATTAACTGAGGTAATGTACTTAGCACATTGGTTTGGATAGAGTAACACTCAGTAAGTATCGTCAATTATTAGCAACAGTCCATGGCAGGGGGAAGAGACATTGGTTCCTTCTTCTGTACAAGGTCAGAGGCAGCCAGGAGGAGTAGGTAGGTACCAGAATGGCAAGTTTGCAAAACTAAGCTATGAGACTTCCAGGCTGGACTGGAAGGCAGTGGGAAGGCAGTGCATTAGAGGGTATGCCACCCTCTAGAACAACTTTCACATTCAGATGGTTTCCAGAAGATGACCATGATTTCTTTTTGTTAGATTTTCTGTTCCTGTGTTTTCTAAGTGATAGATTGGCTGATGCCTAGAAGCTAAAAAACCCTTTTTGTTGAGTAGAAATTCTATTACTGTGATTTCCTAAGAAATTAGTATGACCTTTAACTTTGCCTCCTTTTGCCCTTCTTTCCTCCAGATACTGCCTTCCAGGTACATCGAATTTCAACCACCATTTCTTTCCAAAAAACAAACCTTACTCACACTCATATTTCCAAGAAAGTGGCTCTTGCAGTAGAAATCCTCTAAACTGCTGATTACCATCATCTAACTAGTTGATGTCTCTGTGTGGTCTCACAACTGTCTCTTTGAGCTTCCTGTTCTCAATTGGGTCAGCTCTGGTTGTATTTAACTTGTTTTGGCATGGCTTTGTTATTTTTATTTTGTTTTGTTCTCATTTAATTTGGAAACAGCACAGCATAGAACTTTTTGACCTGAATTCCCCCTGTGAACTTCCCATTTTGCCCAAGTTGACTATGTTAGTAAGCAGTGAGCACCTCTCCAGCTTCTGAAAAATTCATTCAGCCTCTTTTCTTGTGCATGTCTTCTGCTTTGCCAGGTCAAGCTGGGAACTGCCTGATTTGAGGGAAGGGAGAGTAAAAGCCATCAGTGACTCAGATGGGGTGAGCTACCCTTGGTACGGGAACACCACAGAAACTGTGACCTTGGTTGGCCCCACCAACAAGATCTCCAGGTTCTCCGTCAGCATGAATGACAACTTCTACCCCAGTGTGACATGGGCAGTGCCTGTGAGTGACAGCAATGTGCCGCTGCTCACAAGAATCAAGAGAGACCAAAGTTTCACAACCTGGCTGGTGGCCATGAATACCACCACAAAGGAGAAGATCATTCTGCAGACCATCAAGTGGAGGATGAGGGTGGACATTGAGGTGGACCCTCTTCAGCTCCTGGGGCAGCGGGCCCGGCTGGTGGGCAGGACTCAGCAGGAGCAGCCCCGGATCCTGAGCCGGATGGAACCCATTCCCCCTAACGCACTAGTGAAACCCAATGCCAATGATGCCCAGGTCCTCATGTGGAGGCCCAAGCGGGGTCCACCTCTGGTTGTGATCCCTCCTAAGTAGAAGCAGACTGGCCTGACTGTGTGTGGATCACACGCTTCTGAGACATGCAGTGAGGGGTGCCAGAGGTGGCAGGAGCCAAACTGAGTTTCTGAGCCAAAGCAGACCTCTCGGTTTGCCAGCCTTTGCAGCCACTTTTGAAGAGTAGGGCTGCCCCTTGGGTGGTAGAACCATAATCCTTAGGAAAAATCCCTTCCTCTTAGGAATAAAGAAATCACTGATTTGACAGACTTGCTGTGATTACCAAGCAAGTAGCCATATTTTGGAGCTGACCAGGATGATTCTTTTATCTGAACTATTGACCATTTCTTTCCTGTGAGATGCAGGGGATAGAAACGAAATTAAACAGTGCCTGTGGCAAATGCTGCTTCCCAACCAATTAGAAGTAGGAGTGAAAACATCCACACCAGGTGGTCGTAAGACAAACTGCTGTCTGACTAGAGGGTGCTGGGGAAACGGGTGGTGAAAGAATGGGTGATGGGGAGAGGAAATAATACGTTTTTATTACACAGTAATATGTCTGCATTTATTAGTTGATCATCAGATCGACACACTGACTGGAATGAATGGAACACTTAGAAAACTAGACAAATACTGGTATTTGCTCCCTTCCAGGGAGAAAGCCTCCTTGGAACTGTCCAAGGTGCTGATGTGAACTAACAGATGGAAACACTTCATTAGTTCCATCTACCCACCTCTTTCCAAAAAGATTGCTTATTCTCAGAGTATTTTCATCTCAGTACTTGGCTTTGTAATTCCCGTATTCTGCGATAGTTATGATATTTGGGGCGCTGTCCATGTTTTAGTTAAATCCTGTGCTTTTGTTTACAGCTGCTTATTCTGTTCCCATGATTAGCCCTAAATTTACATTTAAAAAATTATAAGCCATGAACCCATGTGAGATTTCAAGAACATTCCAACAAATAAGAACTGGATCGTTATATTTGAGTTTCTGAATGATCTGAACACACACAATGGACACGTGTATGCATAGACACACACGTATGCACACATCAAGGATGCATATATCATAATTAGTAGCATGTTTGTCAGCAGTGCCTATATATCTACCTGTAGCCTTTGTATATACACATATTGTATATTTATATTTATTTATTTATTTATTTATTTTAGCTCTGTTTCACAGAAGCTCAAATTTAACTGCTTGAGCATTTGTGAGAAAGTACTTCCTAAGGCTTAACTTCAGAGCTCTTTAAAGAAGATCTAAGCCACTCATATTAAGCAAGCCTGTATTGCTAAGATTTAACCAATAAAGATGAGAGGCCAGGTTTCCTTTAGTCAAGCCAATATAAAACTTCTTTTTGAGGGTTTCCAGCCTTGCAATGAGGAGTTTTGCAGTTCTTCTAGCTTGAATCACTCTTCCTCCCCTTTTTTTGTAAAGGTACAAAAAAAGAGCTTGTACCTTTATTCTCAATAATTCAACCATATATATGGTTGTATATATGTTTGCTTGTTCACCACCTGCCTATGCAAGCTAATTATAAAAATTTCACATTGTCACTGTGGATTTAACAAGTAGATACTGCTAGCTTAATTTCAGAGGCAGAAAGTTGAATTTCAAGGCAGTTTTACAATCTTGTGATTGGCACCAAAGGGCTGTCTTCTATGAGAGTTTGTGGATAGTGAATAAAAAGCAGGAGGGTTTATTACTTTTATTAAAAATTCAATTTAGTCCAATTTATTTCAGATTCTAGTCCCAGAGGATGGTACATATTTACATAATAGTGCTAACAGATCTACTCTAAAGTATGTAGTGTTAACCTCACACCCCAACCATCAACTACTGTCCTATAGATTAGTTATTGATGGCAAGTTATTTATAACAGCCATTAATAATACATTAGTGGCTCACAAAGGACCTGGAGACATTCATGTAGAAATAATTCAGCTGTTACTTTTGGAATTCTCTGTCTCTTCCCATGTTTCCTTGTTTTATTTGGGAAAGGCAGCTCCAAAGAGCTCCATGGCTTAAGTACAAAGCAGCTTATTTTCCATGCTGACATCATAGGCAGCAATCTCTCCCCGAGACTGAATTAGACTTCACTCCTATGGGATTCTGAGGAATAGATACTGATCCTAGAATCTAATCCATGTGGCCCCACTTTAAGAAAACCTGCAATATTTTAAACTCCAAAGTTGTAACAACAGATTAACGAGAATTTACTTAAATTACAAAATCCTATACAAGATTTGTGTTTTCAGATTCCCCTAGTGCATTAAAATATGACTTATGCAACTATATTTACAAATAACTTTTTCAGAGGCATATCTGTATTTCTAAAGCAAGGCATAGCATACTTAGCTAGACTTGTTTTCCATGAAAAATCACCCTTTTCAGAATTTTAAAAGAAATTACCCTCATAGCAGTTTTCTGGGAAATTGTGTAATGACAAAATGAAAAAAAAATGGGAAAGTATTTATAAAAGTTAAAAGCACTATGCATATATACATTGTGATTATTGTTATCGATACCACTGTGAACTCTATAGTTGGGTCTCTCAGCTCTGAAGTCAGCCTGGCAGAACGCTCTGTTGCCCTGTAGCCAATTATTTTCAAGTTACTGTTGTTTTACAAGGAAATGACCCCTTTTCTTCCTGTGATTTGTGGATCATTATCTTTCAGCTTAGTCAGGATATTGCTAAATCAAAGTCTATCGTACAAGAGAAAATTAACCTCAAAATCTCTGTTGAGGTCACCTCTGCCCTCCCATCCAGCTCTCCTTCCCTTGAAAGTGCCTGGGTCTGACACCATCAGTTTACAGGGGCTCATTTAGTGCCTTAAGTTTTAGTTGGGTGCTCTCAGGACTTAGACATACACACACAACACATGGCTTCTTGGTGGCACAAGAGTTTTGAATTCCATAGGAAAAAGCATTTCATCATATCTTAGATTATTTTAATCAAGTCCTTTGAGATCTTTTAGTCCATGATCTCACAGGAAATTGAGGCCTCGTTAAATTAGGTCATCTATTCAGAATCACACATCTAGCCAGCCAAAGGGCCAAGGCCCCACATGTCCCAAATCTCATTCACAACACAGTCACACTTAGCTAGGACCCACAGCCTCTTGTCTCCAGCCAGAACATTATCTTCATCCCTAATCCATTCACCCACAAACCAATGAGTCTAAAAACTAGAGACAATTGGATCCATCCTTTAAAGAACAAGAGAAAATCTCTGTTACTATTATGTAAAAGAAAATCTGAATGTTCCAGATTCCCTTTTATCTGTGACAGCTGTTTTAAGGATAAACCCTTAATCTGGGCTCTTTGTTGCATGCATGTTACATTCCTGGGTCATTGCTGTAGCTCACAGCACATGAGAAGGTTGGAGGCTAGTCCCCTACCCACCTCCCAATCCATGGACCTTTTTACAACTCCCTCTCTCCTGGTGCTGGAATAGTATCTCATAGGTCAAAATTGTGTGCTAAGCAGCAATTCTGATGAGTAAACTAAAAGAACTGTGACTTATAGAGTATTTTTACAGAAGGCTTCCACATGCATTTTCTCATCCCAGACATTCTTATGAGGAGTGTAATACTCCTAAGGAGTGTTATTATCCCCATTCTCAGATGACAAATTGAGACCAAAGAGGTTAAGTGACATACCCATGAATACACAAACAAAAAAATATCAGAAGCCAGGATTCAAATGGGGCCTTTTCCAAATTCCATGCCCTTCCACAATCCTGTTCTGCCTCTCCTTTTCATCCCTGCCTAGAAGGCACAAAAGAAAAAGGAGAAAGCTAGTCACTTTCATTTACATAGCCATGTAGTCTCTCCCAATCTATTAAATGGACATATTAAACATAAGAGAACAAACACTGCTTTCTTATGCAAAGAAATCCTTTCAGAGGTTAGCCCAGAAAATAATGTCTGACGCGCTGCAGCGTGGGTGAGCTAGCTATCACTCAGCAGCTCTTAGCAGAGTACTGGTAATCAGTGGAATCGGAAATTCGCTCTCCTGGTCTCAGAATCCCTTAAACACCCCAAGGCCAAAAAGGAGAAGGAAAGCATGCATCCTGCAGCTGAGGTCTCGGCTGAACAAGGCCCTGCCACCCGCCATCCCTCAACATGGCAAGAGCAGCCTTTGGGGGTGAGCAGTGGAAACAATGGCTTTTTAAGCCCTAGTTGGCACATTGAACATGCTTGTTAGAACTGAGGGCACAATTAGACATTGCAAGAGCCAACTCCCAACTGAGTTGCAAAGAAAGATGTAAACACACACAGACCCACCACACTCACACACACTTCAAACTGAAAAGAAAATTAATCAAAAACCCAATGAATGCCTGAACTCTATAATTAAGCCTAAATGATCCTTAGATAGAAAGGGAGCTGAGTGAGCAAGCTCTGTGCACACAGATATTTTTACCCCAGAGTCTTGTTGCCATTAATTTCTTTTGAGATCTTGAGTACATCTGGTTCCAGTTTCCCTGGAAGGACATCTGCCTATGGAAGGCCATCAGGAGGGTTGCCAGTTCAGTGGCCAGAGGACAGTCAAGGTTATTTGGCCATTCCAAACACTTAGACAGGAAGGCATCTGGGGAGATGGAGTGTCATCCCCCACCCAGGTCAGCAGTGCACCCACCCATGACAGAGTCCATCACCAACCTAAGGCTTCCTAAAATTCCTTTTATGTGTAAGTGCTTTACAGTTTATACATAAAAACCGTATAAACACTTTCATTTCCTTTGTGTAGCATCTCTGTTCAGGATTGAAAACCTTAGTATCAGCCTGATCTGTCATTGTTATTATTAATAGCAACAAGTCCCATCTGATTAGTGTGTTACAGTTTACATATTACAGATGCAAATATTTTGCCATTTTATCCTCAACAATCCTGTAAGATTGGCATTATATCCCCACTTTATAATAAGGAATCTGAAGCAGAATGCTCAAGTGACTTGTCCAAGTCACTTAGTGGTACACTGAGAACTTGAGCCCTCTGCACACAGTACTTTGCCCCAGACCTTTACTCCACTCTCACAGAACGTTCTCGCCCTGGGTAAATGCAAGCACCCGCCTCTGCTTGTCCAGCCACTACTATTCCTCAGGCAGGGCTGACTAGCAAAGGGAATCTTGACACGCGTGCCCTGACCGGTCTCTGGATGCACTTTAACCAGAAAGAATACGCTCTACTGAGGAGTCTGGGTTCAGGTGGTCCAGGCTGTGGCTTCCAGTGATTTCTCTCCCATCGCACATTAGAAGGGAGGACCTCTTGGGTGCTCTGAGGTAGCTTCTTTCTAGAGCTGCTCAGAGCCCAGGACATCAGCATGACTTGAGATCTTGGAGATCCTGCTGGTAGCTGGACTTGAACAAATCATTTAACTTTTCTGAGCCTTAGTTTCCTTCTCTGTTAACTGAGATATTAGTACAGCCCAGCCAGCTTCACGATCGGAGAGAGAAAGTAGATGATGTCTGAAAATACTCCAAATTGTCTAATGTGCTGCCTCATATAAGATGTTGTGACTTGAGTAGAATCACAGGGCCTGAAGCTGATGGCAGGCCCTCTGGCTTCATCTACTTGGAAGCCCAAAACCATCTCGGGAGAACCCACTCTTACTGCCAAGTGATGCCTGGCCCCTGCGAAGAGTGGTGGGCTCTGTGCCCCCATTTCCCCCGGCCACCTTGCTTGTTCAGGGAGGCCTGAACCCTGATGGTCAAGGAAAGAAAGATTTTTGCATAGCACTGCAGGAAGCAGCTCTAGAAAGGACGTGTAGCTGGAACTCCAAGAGGCCTTTTGGAAAGGAAAGGAGGCTGGAATGTCAAGTCTAGGCCAGACTTGAAATCCCAGCCCAATTGGCCTAGTTTAAACCTAGAGAAGCCAGCCAGGAACAGCTATAGTTTTTCTCTTATGGGCTCAAACGAGATACAGAGGAAAAATATATATATATATATTTTTTTCAAACTTTTTTGTGGGTCTCTACACAGTTTTTGATGCCCCAGATCTTAGCTGGGACCCCACAGTTTAATGATGGTATTTCAGATTTGGCCATGTGGGTGCAAATCAAATGAAGAAATACTTCTTCGTACCCTGCAGCCCCCAGGCTGCCTCACCACACTAGAGGCACATACGATGAATGCTTCTGTCTCTCTGCACCTGCCCAAGGCAGCCCCATTTCCTATGGCCCCACATGGACCAGCGACACAGTTTGCCTCAGGGCTGCTTCCCAAGAACTCCCTGGCCCCATACCCTAAACTGTGCCTCTCCCCCAGCTGGGCCTGGGAATGGTCCCTAAGAGAAGCTAACCAGTTCTCACTAGGACAAATGTGAAACCAGGCCTCTGGGCAGCAGGCCATGTGGCCAAGCATAGGAGCCCCTCCTCTGCCTCCAGGCCCACATTTGTCCTTGGCTAACCCAGAAAACGGGTTGATCTGCAGAACAGCTGAGTGCTGGGTCAGAAATGCCCAGGAGAAGGGAAAACAGACATTAGAATTACAGCAATGAGGGGAGAGGGCAGAGACACAGAGCACGACCCAGTGTCCCATGGACCTCACTGGGGACTATGAGAGATACAGCCGGTGCCATGAAGTATTTGGATGGTGAGATTGCTGAGCCTAGGGCTCGGCCAGCATGACTAGGAGCAGAGAGGAAACGTAAAGAGGGAGAGGATGTTTCCTTCATGCCAGTCCTGGGACTGGGTGAGCCACACTAGGATCCAGAATATTTTTATTCCTTTTTTTTTTTTTTTTTTTTTGAGACGGAGTTTCGCTCTTGTTACCCAGGCTGGAGTGCAATGGCGCGATCTCGGCTCACCGCAACCTCCGCCTCCTGGGTTCAGGCAATTCTCCTGCCTCAGCCTCCTGAGTAGCTGGGATTACAGGCACACACCACCATGCCCAGCTAATTTTTTGTATCTTTAGTAGAGACGGGGTTTCACCATGTTGACCAGGATGGCCTCGATATCTTGACCTCGTGATCCACCCGCCTCGGCCTCCCAAAGTGCTGGGATTACAGGCTTGAGCCACCGCTCCCGGCCATTTTTATTCCTTTTTAACAGAGCTGGAGTCTTGCTATATTGCCCGGGCTGGTTTCATAAGATCCAGTATTTAAGAAGGCACTCACTCTCAGGCCATGCACAGGGACCTAGGCCCCTGGCTTGCCTCTCGCAGCCCCAGCCCTGCTTCATGCCCACCTCTCACTCACTGCCCTCTTCACAAGATCTGAGCAGCGAGGCTGTTGTGGGATCCCTCTGAATACTTGTTCTGTCAACAAGTGTATACTGTCTCCTATGTGCCAGGGTAACCAGAGTCTGCTCTCAGGGAGACAATTCCCACAAGGAGCTTTAGAAGCTGTTCATTTTCCCCCTTGGGCTCATCCATCATAGGGGACTCCAAAACCTAGGGAAATGCCTCCTTAGTTCTCTCTATCCAGGTGCACCAGCCAGTATGCCTATGAGCAGATGTTGCCTTCCTGGCCCAGGGGCTCCATGAGGATGGGTAAGGTGACAGGCAGGACTTCTGTCAATCACTTTGAGTTCTTCCAAGGAAAGGCGCTGGGAAAAACCTACAGCCACATCAGTACAAGAGCAGGCACCCAGGATGAAAGAAACAGCTGGCTATCTCTCCATCTGCTCTTGTCCCTTCACCCCGCCCTTCAAACCAATTAGAATATTCCACACAGACGTGATCCAATGAAATGTTAATTGGAAAAATAACAGGAAAGATAACACATGCACTTCAGGCTGAGAACTATTTCATTAAACTGGGCTTTGAAAGCAAGACAGCCAATTAAATTATTTCCCACTTTACTCGCTCATGTACCAGAAACTATGGAAAGCTATTACTTCTAATTAATTAGGAAAGAAAGAAAGACTCTGCACATGCATATCAGATGAACAGGGATTGAGCGGCTACCCCACCCATCTCTTTGTGCACGCACACGCATCAGGGAACTAAAGACTCATCTGTCTCACCTAAAAAAATTTCCTTAGTGTTCTGAAATAGGAAGCAAGCATCTGTTCCCAGGAGCCTCTCTCAAAATCAAACAAAGGAAAATGTCTTCTTCAGGCACGTTCATCAGAAGGGAAATAGGGCATTTGTTGTGAAAGAATAAGCAGCTTTAAACTGTGGGATTCCAAACCCTCTGCAGCCTGACATGGTCCTGTCTTTTCAGCAGAATTAGATCTTTCCAAGCCTGCTCTCAATATCAAATGCGGTGTTCATTGGCACAGGGTGGTCTCATGGACCAGAAGACCTGAGACGCCGAGGCCCGATTTTGGCTCGATGGTAGTCTGATGCAGGCCATCTTTGGGATCTTCACTTTTCCATCTGTGAAATAGGAAGAAGGCCAATCTCTGTACCGTATTCACCCTCAAAGTTTTTAGGCTTGAGAGAGCACATTTGAGGGAGAGCTATGAGCCTCTGTGCCTTGCCGTAGAGAAAACTGATAGAATCCAAACACAGTTCAAATATTTTCTGCAGAAAAATTATCCTAACCCAGAGACACCCTTATTGTGTAATAAATATAACAGAAATGATATAATGAAATGACATAAAGCAGTCATTCTGGTGATGTGACTTACACACAGGCATCTCTCCAGTATGGTCCAGGAGCAATAGGCAGACCCAGGGTGTCTCAAGACCTCTGCACACGTGCAGCCACATTGTGCCCCACGCACTCCCCCTATCCTTGCCATGTCTGTCATTCTGTGTCGCACGAGGTACTGAGGGCTGGTAAAGCCTGCCACAGTCAGTGCCTCTGACCAATTCTAACCAATCTCATCACTGAAGGAAGGGGAAGTAGCATTTATTGATACAAAAGAGCGTGGCACCCATTCCACAGCACGGGGAATGCGGAGGAATACTTTCTAGAATGGCTTCTAGGCGATTATGTCCCCAGTTGTATATGTAATGAGGTTGTCTACTGACTTCAAACAATTGGAACAAGTTTTCTTTACTAGCTACATAAGAATTTGAAATTTGGTTTTTTCCTAAAATTGAAATCATGCATACAATCTGAAAAGGTAACATGCTAATTAATTTATAATTATAATTATTAAAAAATTGTGCCACTATAGCAGTGCATCCCTGTAAGCAAACCAAGCATGTCAACAATTCAAAGATACCAAAGAGAAGAAAGATCAAGGACAAAAAGAGGAGGATGCCTGATGCTTCACTTTACCCTAGAGCAACTCCCTTCATACATTCAAGACTGCTTTTTTTTTTTTTTTTTTTTTTCCATTTTAAAACTTCAGTTCACCCACTTTGTTATGGCCACAACTATTACATAACAACTTCAGGTTGATAACTGAATAACTTCAGTTTTCTCTAATGTTGCATGTTCAAGAAGTAAGTTTTATCTCATGTGATTTGGACTCTGGAATAAAACAGTAAGTTTTAGCTCAGTCATGGTGTGAACCCCTTGCACCGGAATATTGGGTAAGCTACAGAGCTCTGGTCTCAGTGATTCTCGCAAGTCCCTTTGTACTTTGGATGCTAAAAAACAATGCCATTGGATCAGGGATCTCAAATTCCCCTCCCCTCACCCATTTCTGTGGATTGCTTGGTGTGTTACTAATGGGTTACACATATAAATGACCTGTAATTCTTTAATATTTAGTTTTTAATCTTTTTAAAAATAACCATATGAAGGTTATAGATTCTTTTTTTGCTTTGTTTTTGAGACAGAGTCTCGCCTGTCGCCCAGGCTGAAACGCAGTGGCGCAATCTTGGCTCACTGCAACCTGGGTTCAAGCAATTCTCTGCCTCAGCCTCCTGAGTAGATTACAGGCACTGTCACACGCCTGGCTAATTTTTGTAGTTTTAGTAGAGATGGGGTTTCACTATCTTGGCCAGGCTGGTCTTGAACTCCTGACCTTGTGATCCACCCGCCTCAGCCTCTCAAAGTGCTGAGATTACAGGTGTGAGCCACTGCGCCCAGCCAGTTATAGGTTTTCTTTATAGAGAAGTGCATATGAAAATAAATACCAAAAATTTTGCATAAAGTTTCAGGGTCATCGCCCCTTGAAATCTATTAACGGAGCCCAGATCATGACCATCTGCTTTTAGGGAATGACTTTTCTTTGATCACTGTCTTAATGCCGGTTTTATTACATGTTTCCGTATCCACATACAGGTCTCCTAGTAGGACAAGGAAAGCCCAGCAAGCACAACCACATGGCAGACTGAGAAGGAGGAAGTGAGCAAATGGCTGGCGGCTCCAGAAGCTGAAGCCCTGGACAGCTGATTTCCCATTAAAACGAGTGCCATCCTGCCTACCTCCTCGCCTTCCTCCCATCCCATGACCAGTCCCTCCTACCCACCCTCTGCGGGCCATGCAGCACTTGCCCTGGGCTGACTGGGCTGCCTCCTTGGCTCATGGGGAGCTGTGTTGAAGTGGGGGGTGTGCCTGCTGTATCTGTGTGTGGAAAGATGGGGTTCATTCTGATCTCAAGTCCTTTCCCCAACCCTCAGAGTGAAGCCTCCTAGGAATGAAGAGCTGGTCAGCCTGGACTTTTACGTAACAAGACCCAGCCTTGGTTCCCAAACCCTGCCTTCCCTCCCTACACTTTTGGATGGGAAATGGGGAATATGTATCTCCCTTCCTCCTCCTTCTCCATGTGGGTGGCCTCTCTAGGTTTCTCTAAGTTCTCTGATCCTCAGAGAGCCAGGGCCAAGGCAGTCATCTTGTTCCCTCTTCCACGGCCAGGCTGGGTGCCTTCAGGTGACCAGGGGCAGAATGTAAGTCACCAGGATCAGTGGGGTGAGGGAAAACCACCTTAAGAGGGCAAAAATGGTGTGCATTGGTTTATTTATTGGCTTGCTTACTGATTTATTTATATTTATTATACAACACTAAATCCATTTCCATTTTTGAAGCATCAACCCCAGAATTTGTCCTCCTGGCCCCATAGAGCACAGTGAACTATTTCTCTTTGAAGCTTCAGAATAGAGGAAAATTTTCTCCTTTGCCCCAACACCTCCACCGCAGCCACATTTTCAGCCAGACATTGGATTAGAAAGCACCAGCTCATAAGGCTGTAAAGCCACAAATATCAGCAGAGCTCAACTGTCCAGACAGCTCTCAGAATCCTGCCTCCCTCATGCTCCTTTACTCGGGTGGGGATTGGCCAGCCTAACAGTGCAGAACAAAACTTCTCATTCTGCTCTGATGTAGTATTCTTAACATCACATGCACATTAGAATCATCTGAGGAGCTTAAAAAACGTCCATGCCTGGTCCCCTGCCCAAACCAATCAGCATCTAAGGGTAGATCCTGGGCATCAGAGTTTTTGAAATTACCCAGATGACTCTGTGAAAATAGGGTTGAGAAGTTCTAATGTCACCTCTCCATTGCCCCTCCCCACCCAGATCCTTTCATTTTTACTTTCCAAGCTTTCTTCAGAGTCCTCTTCCCATGCTTCCAGCCCCCTCTCCTCCCTGAACCTTCCCCCTCAGCTCAGCCAACCATAGCAGATCCCTGCAGAGGGGGCAGGTCCCATGAGTGGTACTCTGAGGCTGCTGGTTCCTGCATCTAGCCTGGGGGCTGCTCCCAAACAGTTTCCAGCTTTTCTAGGAGCAGAAACCTATCGCCTGCAAGATTCTCTGTCCACCTGCACCTTCTCCAGGTTCCCAAACTCCAAAAGTTTAAAGGGCACTTTGGTGACATTTCTGTCTCCAAGCCCTATTCTTGATGGTATGGCCCATGTAAGTGGTATAACCCAAGCCTTGGCCCTTTCTGCAGAGCCACTTGGGTTGATTGAGGGTCTACTGTTAACAGAGGAAGGGGTCACAATGCCCCCCCCCGAGGCAAGTCCTTTTTCCAACAGCTAACCTTCTCAGCCATCTAGGATTTGGACGCACAATGCTGCAACTGCTATGCATTCAAATCCTAGATGGCTGAGAAGAGGCATCTCACCCTTCACATCTACAAGATCTCCACTGCTGAGTATGAGTAAATGTGTGTGTGTGTGTGTGTGTACACATACATGTACACACACTACATACAAACCATCTAGATCTATAGAGATGCCAGACTTCACTATACATGTTACTACATTTTACATGATAACAATTGAGGGCTTTCATTGTCTTTCACTTGATGGAGTTTCACTATGCTATGTTCATGATGGGCCCCATTGAATTCCGTATCAGGTATATACACAGAATGTATAATCCATACAAACTGTTAGATACACAACACACACACACAAAGTCTAGAGAGACCTATGATGTAGGTAAGTTCATTTTGCCATCCCATCTCCTCCATCGAAGTAATTTCCCGGGGCACACACTGTTTCACACATTCTCCTCAGCTGCCCAGTCATTCTCTCTCCAGTGTCCCACACCACCAAGCCTTCTTCCCCATTGGTCCAAATGTCCCTGCCCTGCGTCCCATCTCTCAGGGTCCTACTCTCTGATAGGTGACTGTTCAGTCAGTGGGTGCTAGAGTCGAGTGTTACCCTTCCCAGGTGACATTTACATTTTAATAGGGGCTACAGATAATGCCTTAATCCGAAAGAGTGGCTGTAGTGGTGGGAATTTCAGGCACAGAAGTGGGCCAGTAAGGGAGATTCTTTTATATCAGGAGGGCATTTTAGAGCCCCCAAGTCATACCTGTCTTTAATCGCAGCCCTTCATAAGTGCATGAGCACGAGCAAGCACACTTACCTACATTACACCCTCCATAATTCTGAGATACCTCCCTTGCCTTGGCCCTATCTTTAAAAATGAAAAAAACGAAAAAGAGAACTAGCTAAATTAATTTAGATCTCACTGGGAAATGTAGCCTATTTTTTCACCGGCTGCCAGCCATCTGGCCCACCCCACCCTGTTCAATTTCCCTTCTGCTCCTTCTCTTTTCAGCTACGACCGACCGTATCAGTTAATTTACTTGTATGTGTCCTCTCTGCTCTCTCCTTACCCTGTTCCCCCCTGCCACCCCACCCCCATGTATTTCCTTCTTGTATCATTTCCTCCTTGGAGTTGTGCTGTGTTTCACTGTCCTGGAGGACAGAAGAGCAGGTTAAGGCATGAGCATGTGTGTATCACTTTGAAGAAAGAGAAACCAGGTATTCTGCTACAGTTTGGAGAAAAATCCAATGAAGGAAGAGATGAGAGCTGGCTCTGCAGAGTGCCTTAAAAATGACTTTAATTAGGAAATTCTGAGTTGTCGGTCTTCAGATGTTACATAAACTCAAACAGATGTTGCATTTCACTTCTCTGGGATTAAAAAAAAAATGTTAAATACAGTGTGTATTCAACAACAACAAAATATGTTTTCTCTTTAATTTGGTCCTTAAAGATGCAGTGCTGGTTTTCTACAAAACCTGGGATGGCCCCAGGAACAAGCAAGCTCTGGAACATACAGAGGGCAGATGCAGGAATCCTGCCCCGCTAGGAAAGCTGTGGCAGGCTAAGGCAAAATGTTGCCATTGAATTTGGTCCAAAAGACAACTCTGAGATGAGAAAAAGCGTGGACAACCATAAGGGAAAGAAAGGGATCCTTACCCTTCTCCCTAATGACACGCTTTGGTCTGAGTCTTTTGGGGCTGCTATAACCAAATATTGTAAGTTGGGTGGATTATAAACACCAGAAATGTATTTCTTACTGTTCCAGAAGCTGGGAAGTCCAAGATCAAGGCTTTGGCAGACTCGACGACTGGTGAGGCCCTGCTTTCTGGTTCCTACTTGGCACCTTCTAGCTGTGCCCTCACATGGCGCAAAAGACAAATGAGCCTCCTTGGGCCTCTTTTACAAAAGCTCTGTTCTCCAGACCTCATCACCTCCCAAAGGCCCCGCCCCCTAATACCATCACCATGGGGGTTAGGATTTCAACATTTGAATTTGTGAGGGATGCAAATATTGGAACATAGCACTCTCCTCATCTATGATTTGGTGCTGTGAAATTGGGAGAAAGAGGACATTCTAGAATCGGAAAATAAAGCTTGCCTTTCCATCTCTTTCCTACTACTACTCCTGGAACACCCTTGAGCAGAATCTGCTTTGCTTTTGCTAAATGGTTTCCTTTAGCTTAATGTTTGCAACCTAGGATCTGACCAAAACAGTTCATCTTGAAGTCTGAGTTCCTCAAGGCAATTAGGTCTCTGGAATGTTGCCTTCTCTCCCTGAGTGTTGGTATCTGTAAATATACCAACCCCTCTCCCCTACCCTGCAGTTCCCACTCTTGTGGGGATGAGAGTGGGAACTGCAGGGTTGGGAGAGAGGTCTTGAAGTGTACTTGGATTCTGAAAACTATGGAGGTTAGCAGGACTGAAGACCATAGCTCTGTCAGCCCCAGCCTATCAGAGCCCTCCTCCTACCCGTCCCCACCACTTGCACTCTGACCTTTCCACAAGATATGTGACCCTTCTGTGGGGTTGGCAGTTTTAAGAGGGCTGAGAGTCACTAACTCACATTTATTCATTCATTCTCTCTCTCTCTCTCTCACACACACACACACACACACACACACACACCAGTCAAAAGAGGGAGAGCAAGGAGATCCAGATACTGAAATAAAGAGTGGTAAATAGTGGTTATCACTCCTGGAAAAAAAGATTTAAGAAAAGAATCTGTAATGCATGTCGGGGTGAGGGAGTATTTTTAAATATACATATGTCTAACCTCAGACACCCCTCTACCCTCACCAGGGCACTGGGCAGCACATGCTCAGGTCTGGAGCAAGCAGCTTGTGGACAGATTTTAGAAAAGGGATTCCTGCACCTTCTCTATCAGAATGCACGATCTCTGGGAAGAACAAGTGGCACTTTTTTCTTAGTTCATTCATTTCAAGAAATAAATAAGGAACTGGCAATTGCTAAACACACTGCAGTATGTATGTGTGTATATATACAGCTCAAACATATGAGTGAGGGTTGGTAGAATATAGTGACAGTTGAGGCACACTGAAAATATAAGTGGTATTTCTTTCTCACTTAAAAAAACTAAGTTCCATGTTAACTTGGAAAAGAGAAGAAAGATGTGTTTGATTTTCTTTAAACCAAATTGTCATATATTTAAAGAAGTCACTTGGGGGAGCAAAGACAATATTCAAACAAAACTATGTATTTATTGTTACCTACATGAAGAAATGGTATAGCCTGCCATGTTACATATATGGTCACATTTCTTTTACTTTTTCAGAATTACTTGAACCATCATATATTTTGTTAGCAGAGAGCACAGTAATCCCTTTTTAAGGTTTTCCCAGCCCATCTACTCCCAATTTCTCAAAAACCCTGGGTCCTGAACTCAGTCCCAAGAGATTCAAAACCCCAAGCAGAAAACAGGGGCTTATGAACCTATTCCTGCCTTCCCTGCCCGCTGCCTAAAGTTCCTTGCAGCCAGGAAGCCCAGGACACAAGTTGTCACTTTGGTACAGCTTCTGGCATACCAAGTCGTTATTCTCAAAGCAGAATGATGCAGGGGGGCCAGTACTGGAGGCCTGTCCAGAATCATTGCTAAGTTGTGCGGAAATAGACTCCCTCACAAATCTCTAGGTTTGTTCATTACACCCAAGCCAACAACCTAAACTACTGTCCTCCCCAAGCCGGTGACCTGCCAATTTTCCCGGGCTCCCAGCTCAGGTGTGGGACCCCTCAGAGTTCCCATGGGAATCCCTGTTTCAAACCTTGATGAAGAGGAGCTGAGCTGTCAGTTCCTTGCCTTGCAGAAAGTTCCAGCTTCCCTTTACAAATTAATGAATTGTTCCATGTCCTCTATGCCCTTCTTCTCCCTGAAACCCTACATTTTCATAACTAAAGGAGATCACTGGAGTGATCTGCAGAGCAAAAGGATACACTATTTCAGCAAGCACTTATTATGTGACTGCTACGTGCCAGTCTTGGATGCAAGGAACTCCTCAGCAAACCAAACAGACAAAAATCCATCCCTTCTGGAATTTCCATTCTAGTGGGAGGAAAGATAGATGGTAGACATAAGAAAGAAAGAATTGTATATATTAGGCAGTGAGAAGTACTATGGGAGAAAAAAAAAAAAACAGATGAGGGGAACCAAGAGGATAGAGTTGTTTACTGTATGCCTGGGCTATACCAAGAAGCAGCTGTCAATTACTGCATTTAATAAAGATAATATTTTTGGCCTTTCCAGCACCTCCTTTAGTCTATGCATTAATAGGCATTCTATTCCATTAAAGCCTTCAGATCTACACTTCATACATTTCAGAGCAGAATTAGGTTTACTGTTTACTATTTTTACCACGATCCATGGAGATTCCATTTACTGCAGCCTTGAAAAATAAAATGACTTCCTCAAGTTCATACAGCTGCTAAGTATTGAAATGAGGATCCCCATATGACTCTTTTGACTTCATCATATGATTTTTCTCAATGCACTTGTAAAAAGCACAAAACAGGAAGCACAAAGATCTAAAACAGAGACCAAGCATTGCTTCTTACTAGGCATACAAAACCTTGAAACGTTCTTTGCAAACATAAGACTGGATGTGACCAGGCACAGTCGCTCACGCCTATAATCCCAACACTTTGGGAGGCCAAGGTAGGCAGATCACTTGGGGTCAGGAGTTTGAGACCAGCCTGGCCAATATGGTGAAACCCTGTCTCTACTAAAAATACAAAAAGTTATCTGGGCATGGTGGCGCATGCCTGTAATCACAGCTACTCAGAAGGCTGAGGCAGGAGAATCTTTTGAACCCAGGAGGTAGAGGCTGCAGTGAGCCAAGACAGCACCACTACACTCCAGCCTGGGTGACAGAGTGAGACTCCATCTCAAAAAAAAAAAGATTGGATGTGAAATTACACTATAAATCATAAGGTACAGTACAAATGTGAAGTTTTGGGGCAATTCTGCAGGCTATCTCAAAACCCCACTCACCTATCATCTGTGTGATTCATTAAGTAAATAAATATAATTAAAAGGAGTTATTTTTATAACACACTGCACACAACTCCCAAAGCAATCCTTACTCAAGTTGGAAAACTTAAAACAGTATATATTTTCTGTCTATAAACGAATTATCTGATTCAAGTCAAAGCAAACCCACTTTTAAGGTGTTCTCTAAAAGCATGTGCATAATTATAAGGAGGATATTGAAGAAGCGCCAACACGTGGCCTTTGTGACCAGCCTCTGAGCACTCAGTGTGCGCAGTGCAAGTGCAGAGAAATGGCCATGCATGGGACAGCTCCCAGGGGTGTGGGGGTGGCTGTGAACAACCAGTTAGATTTATTCCTATTCCAGGCCTCTCCCTCTCTGTTATCCCAGTCATTGGAGAATGCCACCAGGGAACAGTAAGAAGTGTCACATTAGCCTGCAGGGCAGCTGGTACTGAGTCTATCAGTCTAAGCCAGTAAACAAAACTGAACTCTGCTTAGCAGATCTTAGAAGGGAGATCCTAGAAGGTACGAACTAAAAGAGAAGAGGCATACTCTACTTTCTGAAAAGATTCTGAATCTTAGAGGAATATTCCTGCCCTCAAAAAAAAGAAAAAGAAAAAAAACCTACAAAAATAAAAGTGTACCTTCAGAGAGCTGCCAAACGTCACCTTCTCTCTTCTCCCCATAGTCAGAGTGGGAGACTTGAGAAAAAGGAAGGACAGGTAGCTCCCCAGCCACCTGCACAGCCTGGGGATGTGCAAAACTGTCCTTTCTCTGCCTCTGAGGCTCCTCACCAAGATTCCAAGGGAAATTGGATTAAACCTCCCCCAAAAAAAGGTATCTTGATGAGCCTAGGTTCAAAATGAAGGGAGCGGGGAAGTATCACTTTCAGGAGGAAAGCTAGAGAATGAACCACGATACAAATGAAATAACTTCAGTAGTAAATAAAAAGAATATGAGTGTCACACGTGGTGGCTCACACCCGTAATCTCAACACTGTAGGTGACTGAGGTGGGAGGATAACCTGAGCCCAGGGATTTGAGGCCAGCCTGGTGACCTACGGAAATCTCTACAAAAACAAAAATAAAAATTAACCAGGTGTGGTAACACATGCTTGTCGTCCTAGCTACTTGGGAGGCTGAAATGGGGGAATTGTTCAAGCCAGGAGTTTAAGGCTGCAGTGACCTCTGATCTTGCCACTGCACTCCAGCCAAGACCCCATCTCTGAAGAAAAAAACAACAAGACATGAGGATGCTAAAATCATGATGATCATAGTTTCCAAACCAAAAATTTCTGTCCCTAGCCTGATCAAAACATAAAATAGTATAAATCAAATCTATCCCTCAAAGTCGAGAACGTGTCTTCGTTTCAGCTCAACAGCTAGTCTGTGGCAATTCTTCACCCTTATAAGACTATGT